TTTGAAGCTGTTTGATATTTTGACCAACCGCATGAGTGGTATCGCGCGAAAGGGCAGAGTTCGAACTATACCGAGGTACCTTTACAATCCACCTCCGGTTTCATTTGGCCGAGATAATTTGATTATAGTGAACCAACAGACCACTCGGAGGCCCCGCCGGAGCGCAAACAAAACAAATTTTCACGTAAGCCAAGCAATTGCATTGTTGAACGAGTGCGTAACTAACAAGATTACTAAACGAGCTTTCGAATAGGATAGGTGTCCTTTCGGTCTGATCAAAATATATCCTCCAATTTATGAAAATAAGCTGATGTGAGATCGGCAGCCATTTTGGATTCGGCAGCTTATTTTACATTTTAATAATACTCGCGTGATTTGCGGCGAAACAAGAAGTATCCTATCCTGAGGCGCGTTTCATGGGCTTTCCGGCGCGGTACGAGTTTTTCTTCAACAATACTGCCGATCAAGTTAAAATTTGTTACTTTTACGCGACGGTGGATAACCTCGAGTGCAACCTCCGACATTGTTTGCGTTCAAACATGAAATCGACTTACCTCTGAGATGAAATATCAACTGTTATAGTTGGAAGGGGTTATGGTACATCATAATATCCAATAATATGTTCGCAAAACGACGTCCAGCAATCAAGAAACACTAAATGCAAACTTGTGTCATATTCGTTTAAACGTGAATCGGCCAAGCCTGGGCGCCATTAGAGCATCACCTCACCTGAAGTCACGTTTAAATGAATGTGACACAATATTCAAACGAATGTGACACGCTTCACATTAAAACGAATGTGACGTCACATTCCTTGAATAACAGTGAAGACATGCGTACAATTTGTCAGATGACGCTGACATACATCAACAGGTGAGGCTGATTGGATTTAACAGAGGATACTAATTCAGCAGATAGGGGACAGAACAAATGTGATTGTGGGCCCTATTCTAGACTATTATTTGCTGTTTTGTGAGGTCCCAGTTGATTTACCTTGAGATGAGGCTGTGAACTGTATTCCTTGGTTGTCATAGTGAGGAGAAAAATAAAGCAAACCTCATTTATCGCAATGTTAAGGAAGACAACACCACGCCTTTATATGGTTAAGACAATAGAGTATGAGTTCAAAGAAAAGAAGTGCGAATTCCACGTGGAAGAGACTTACACTCGCTGTGAGTAGAACCGAGATGACAATCAAGGACACAATTTTAAAATAATATCCACTAAAGTCAAAGCCCCGGCCAGACGACTCGACCATAAACAAATCATCTTTTCACCACTTTCCCTTTCTGCTGGCTATCGCTTACTGGCACTTCGCGCTGAGCGTGCGGATAACGGTTCCGTTGTGTGCCTAATGAGACCAAGAACAACATAGTGGATGGTGGACAGTCGATGACAGTTCTTACCGTTATTAGCCCGCCCTTCTGCTTTTAAAAAAGCATTATTAGCCCGCCCTTCTGCTTTTAAAAAAGCATTAAAGCGGGCTTATGCAACCGCTCTCGTGTCCGTCTGTCTGTCTGTCCGTCGTCCGTGTAAGAGGAAGGAGATGAGCTAGAGGTCTGCAAATTTTAGGGTATCTTAGGGGTCACTCCTGGACAACGAAACGCCTGGTGCAAATCCTAGCAACCACCCCTAAGGGGGTGAAAGGGGGTAACAAAGAAATAGGGGTTGGTCCAAAAAGTAGAAAAAAAATATTTTTTTTATGGTCTCCTAAGGGGTAACTCGTGAAAGTAGAGCTCTTTGGGCCAAAATTTTGTCCGTTTTGATCTATCTTTTACCGTTTGGGCGCTAGAGTGCTTTTTTCGACGAAAATACGGCGAAAATGACCGCGTTGCACATAAAATCGTAAAATGTCAGAGGAAGTACCCCCCCCCCCAAAACAACACGTTCTGAATCAGGAACTACCCTCGCATTAGCCGTATCTTTTACTGTTTCGGCCCTAGAGGTGGATATATTGAAAAC